TAAATTCAATTTAAATAGCATATTGTCACTGTCTTACAGACATCGCGAACATATACGTCATTACATAAAATCCTGGAACTTTTTTATGACGAGTATATACGTCACTCACCGCTAACTGGTTATATAACATATACCAATATTTTGTACTATAATTAAACAAACCTATAAAAATCCAGTTGTATTATTAGTCCATTATAGATAAAAGTTTTATCTTTCATGTTAATACGTGTATAGGTATAATGCATACTACAAAATCCATTATAGATGTTTATCGCAGTTATTTATACTGTTTCACATTATACATAGATGTATATTCAAATCATCGTTTCTAAATGACATAATTAAAATGGTTCTGCTGCACCGCGTTGCTTTTAATTAAAATCGTATGCCAAACTATAGTATTTTTCTATTTTAATTTGAATATGAACATAATTACAACATAATTGTGACGCTCGTTTTTAATTAGTGGAATTCGATTAAAAATTGAAAAATGTAATTATATTGTATTCAGATATAAAATACATATTATGTAATGGAAAGTGATATAGAATCGAAATGGCATTCAAAATAAAATTGCAAAAATTATTAGATTTTTTGTTGAATTCTATGCAAATGAAGTCGCGTGTATATCTAGTAATATATAATATTTGTGAACAATTTTTAAAATAAAATTTTCCTTTTCCCGACCAACAATTTTGATCCCATCTAATATTCCATTCCCAGTTAATTTTTCAAAGTTCAACCATATCATTCCGTGTTAGTTTTTTCCTTTTTCAGTATAAGCCATTAAGGAAATTCCCTGAAGTCATTAGAACTGACAAACTACACTGTGGCTGGTGGTTATTACACATAAAGCTCGCGGGTCTGGCTGGAAGCGGCTTGTAAGAACCGACGAAGGTGAATTAGATAATACGTATGGCTACTGAGTTGAATAATTAGCCCAAGACTTGTATGAGAGAGAACATTCTGACCAGGCCAACACGCATACATTGAGGGTCAACGGAGAATCGATAGTTGGGGAAGGATATTGGCAGTCGAAGGAAAGAATTTTAAAATCATGGGTAATTTTACTTACGCAAAATTTTAAATTGTAGTAATCACAATAAAAAAAAACGAAAATGAAAATTTTTGCATATCTCTACGTTTCAAAGGTTTCTGAACATTTTGGCATACCTTAAAAAAATTGATGTATGCGTTTGTGTGTGTGTGTGTGTGTACACCTGGATTTCATAGGTTGGTGTAAACATTGTAAAATACATTGTTTTATTTTTTTTATTATACTTTATTTAGCAATTATGTATAAAAAAATTACATTTAAATTGTAAATTAGTTCTAAATTATAACTAAAACAGAATCATAATTATATATCACATTTTCCAGTTATAGTTATAGTTTCCTAAATCTATTTTTTGTAAATAGATGGCAAAAGTATTTCTGTCTTTTGTAATTCGTTCCTGTCTTCTGTTTCTTAAAATTCTTTCTATCATAAATATTTCCTCGTTGGCTTGAAGGATGTTATATAAAATACCTGAAACTAACCAAAGAATTGCATTTTCTTTTTCTTTCGGTTTTATCATTATGTCCAACTTGATTAATTTGTCAATTTCGATTTGTCCAACTTTCAATTCATTTAGTTTGTTTTTCACCAAATTACATACATATTTTCCGCCCAGAATCGAACAATTTGATTAGTTTTTGGTAAAGACAGGTTTAGCCGTTTCGGAGATATGGGGCAAAAAGTGCCAAAAATGGTAATTCAGTTTTTGAGAGAACTGAGTACTCGATTTGAATGAGTCAAAAAACATTTAACTTGTATGGACGAAATGAAGAATTTAATTTTCTGGCAAGACAGGTCTAGCGATTTCAAAGATACAGAGGAAAAAGTAAAAAAAAGTGATATTTGGTGGCCAAAAATGAACATTAGACGTATGCACATCAAATTATCAGATATTTGATGAAGTCTTTTAAAATAAGTAATAATTTTTTTGTTACAATTTTGTTGGGTTCCGTACCCTAATTTTGAATTATTAAACTTTACTTATACGGTTCAAGCAAATTTCAAAATCTTTCAAAAAAAAATTTCAAAATTTTCAAAAATATACAAAGTTTTATACTTCAAATATGAATTTTAAATTTACAATTCAGTATATATGTCTATATGCGTATATTTTAAATGCGTTATTCTAATCATAAGAAATTTATTCTCAGATGAATTCATTCATTCACCTCCTGCTAATTTTTGAGCGATAAGGTCGTCACTGAATATTTTATGAACGATAAAATATATAGTGATTATAATTAATAATTTGAAAATGTATAAAACAATTGTTGTAAATCATTGATAAATTTCTATCGATTACTGCTTTTTTCCCTCAAGTATATAATTCTGGTACGGAAAGTTCCAGCAATTTGCCTTAAGGCGCGATGCCACACACCATTATTTTCTTTATACCTAGGGCTTATACATAAATGATATATGGTTAATGGAAACGGAATCATTTATAATAGATAACGCCTTGCCGTCACGACATTAAAGTAAAAAGTTTTTTGATATTGTCAGACTAAATAAATGACACTTTATCAAAACAGTTCCCAGTTTAATGTAAGTACGTACGTGAATTATTACAATGGCATTAGAAAATGATTAAGCGGATGACGACAATGGCTCTGATGTCGACTGCGTTACGAAATAATAATATTGTTATGGTAACATAATGAATCAACTATTGTTATCGAAGTGTTGATATAGGGAAAATTAAAACATTGGAAATGTTTCATAGAAATGTCATTTTTAAGCAGAGGGCAAACCGGCAAAAGATGTGTAACCAGCCAAAGCTTTAAATCAAGCGACATCACAGCCACGAGATAAACGGCCAAATTGTCAGTTACAGTTTTATTCCTTGTTTTTTTTATCACTGTTATTTAGTTTACGATACTTAAATATATTTTTTAAGTATATTTAGGACCTCTTTGTGTCCTACTCTGCTCTATAAAAAAATCCATACATATATTACTGAAATGAAATGTATTTATTATAAATCGATTACTATGAATTTTGATAAGACTTCTATGTAAACACTGATAAGAAGTGACGATAAATTGATAATCAATCATATACCAAAATGATGTGTAATAGTATGCATTTATATATAACAGGGTTGGTCGGTTTTTAAAAAACTATTTTAGTAAAAAATATAAGGCACAAATACCAAATAAAATGACAAATGTAGCAGATTGATAGCCGTCTTTAATTTCACAATTATAAAAACATTTACACCTTTATATATAGAAATTATATATAAACAACTAACAATTATTAACTTTCCATAGGATAAATTATAGTTAATTATCCAAAAATCAACAATATTTTTTCTGCAGATCTTTACATTTCTGAGATACCTTAGAAAAAATTATTGTGTGCATTCTGTATGTATGTATGTATGTATGTACAATTTTTGTCGACGTTTTTGGGAGCACAGCTCAACCGATTTGAATTATTCAGAAAGTATTCGATTCCCATTGATACGGAAACGTGCTGATTAGTTTTTAAAAATGCAGAAAATTGCAATTGAGTTTGTGAGAAAACGGAGCATCCGATTTGAATTATTCTAAAAACAATTTACTTGTATTGATGTAATGAAGAATTGATTAGGTTTTTGCAAAGGCAGATCCAGCGATTTCGAAGATCCAGAAAAAAGTTAAAATTTATGTATTAAAAAAGTTAAAAAAATACCATTTGGCGGTCGAAAATCTCATATTTTGTAATTGGAATCCACTGATGGAAATAGGGTGTCAAATTCTTTCAAAGTATTCCTAAATTTTCAAAAATCACATAATTTGAGTTTTCAAAAAATATTAGCATTTTCAAAAATGTGATAAAAATAATCAAAATTTTCAAAAAAAATTTTTTTTTTTCTGAGCTTTTGAGATTTTCAAATTACGTTTTGAATCGAGTTTTCAAAAAATATCAGTATTTTCAAAAACTGCAATTTCTTCAATGTTCAAGTTATTGAAGTGCTCTCAGAAATTTCAAAAATGTTAAAAAATAAACAAAATTTTCTAAAAAATCTATTTTTTTTCTGAGCTTTTAAAAATTTCAAATTACGTTTTCAAAAAATATCAGTATCTTCAAAAACTGCAATTTTTTAAGTGCACTCAAATATTTTTTCAATTTATTTTTAAAAATGTTAAAAAAATTAAAAATTCTCAAAAAAAATCAAATTTTTTCGGAGATTTTAAATATTTCATATTACGTTTTGAATTAAGTTTTCAAAAAATATCAGTATTTTCAAAAACTGCCATTTTTTCAATATTCAATTTTTTTAAGTGCGGAATATGCAAATATCAGAATTTTCAAAAATGTTCAAAAAAAATTTTTTTTAATTTCAAAAAAATATATTTTAAATTAAGTTGGCAAAAAATATCAGTATTTTTAAAAACTGCAATTTTTTAAAATTCAAATTTTTCAAGTGTTTCCAGAATTTTCAAAAATGTTAACAAAAAACTAATTTTTTTTCTGAAATTTTAAAAATTTCAAATTACAGTCCGGTTAGTTTCTGCAATTTGCATTAAGGGGCCGTTCAAGTATTACGTAAGCACTATAGAGTGGCGAGGGGCTTATTGATTTGCCTATTATGGGTGACATGGGAGCAGGGGAGTCTAGATGATGATTACGTCATAGGTAGTATTTTTACTTTTTTACCGAATGGCAACCTAATAATTACAATATTTAAAAAAAAACAATACATTAATTGCAAAATGTTTACATGGAGGTAGGGGGTAAGAGGGGGTAAATAATTGTAATAAATCTGCTTACGTAATACTTGAACGATTCCTAAGGTACGATGCCATGCACTACTAGGTTAAAACCGGACTCGCGAAAAAATACTTGTCGAAAATCGGTTTTCTAAGAATGTCGATTATTTATACAAACCTTATCATTATCTCTTCACCGTCGCGACCGAAGAAACGCGACCGAAGCTTCGAACCGTGCAACGCTAGATACGCGAGATAGATCCCCACTGCCGGGCTCGGCTTACGGTCGGCCACTGTCGGCGAACGAGGCGACGAGGCGACGGCCAGGGTCGCGCGTCTCACGAAGGCAGTCGAGTAGCGCGACTTGAGGGGAACTGCCGCACGTCAAAATGAGATCTTTTTCGCCGCAAGAGGACGAACTATTAATAGAACTGGTGTACAACAATCCGCCACTGTACGACAACAGGCTCCCGACTTACAAAGACAATGCCGCGCGGGAGAAAATCTGGAACGATATTAGAAAAATATTGAAGAGACCAAGTGAGTAGAGATAGAATAACTATATAAAATATTTCAACTATTTTCAACGGGTATTTCGACTATCCAGTCTATTACCCATGCGGATCTCAGAGACGCGTAGTAACGCGTCGCATCCCGTCAAACGCAAGTCGTTATTTAGAATCGTCGGTAAACATTTTTTTTTATATTATTTTTAACTTCCCGTAGGGCAAGTTATAGTAATCGCAAAAAAATCGAGAATAAAAATTTTTATATATCTTTAAGTTTTAGAGGTTTCTAAATATGTTGGCATACCTTAGAGAAATTGATGTATGTGTGTGTGTGTGTGTGTATGTATGTGCGGATCCAAATTTTCGTCAACGATTTCGGGAACACGGATCAACCGATTTGAATAATTCAAAAAACATTCGATTTGTATTGATAAGGAGACGTGCTGATTAGTTTTTGGCGAAGCCAGGTCTAGCCGAAAACGGTAACTCAGTTTTTAAGAGAACGGAGCGTCCGATTTGAATAATTCAAAAAACATTTTACTTATATTGACAAGATGAAGAATTGATCGAATTTTCATGAAGGCAGGTCTAGCGGTTTCGGAGATCTAATGAAAAAAGTAAAAAAAATGCCATTTGGCGGTTAAAAATGATCATTAGACATATGCACATCAAATTATCAGATATTTTATAGAAATTTTAACAATAAGTATAATTTTTTTTTACATTTCTATGGGTTCCGTACCAATGCTTATGCGTTAGACGGCGTCGCGACACTTGCGCGCTTTGACATTTCGTCTCTATGCAGTTCAAGCAGTACGATTGTCTTGGAAAAAAGTTCAGAATTTCCAAAATATGTCAAAATGAAGAAAACACTTTTCTTTTCAAAAAAAATTTGTTTCCAAAAAAAAAAATTTTTTTCAAAAAAAAGGAATTTTTTGTCAAAATTATAGTTTCTCAAAAATCTAATTTTTTCGAAGTAAATTTTTTTCAAAAATGTTAATCGTTTTTAAAAAATTAATAATTTTTGGTACGGGAAGTTCCAGCAATTTGCCTCAAGGCACGATGCCTTAATTGCCTTAAGACAGAATTCCACTTACAGCTAGTCAACGGGTATTTCAACTATTCAGTCTATTACCCGTAGTAACGCGTCGCATCCCGTCAAACGCAAGTCGTTATTTAGAATCGTCGGTAAACATGAATGCGAAAGTATATCGTACAATTCGCTCTAAATTGCGGATGTTTAGTACGTACAGAAATGTATACAAAATTCTTGGTCGTATAAGTATCCGCGTAGGTTTGTGTATGTACGCACTTGTGTGTACGTGAGTATTTAACAACAATAGCTCATTTGATATATTGTTTATTCTGATTGTTGTTTATAAATGGAAGAATAATGGTATTGAAATGCTTAATGGTACTTATAATGTTTAATGCGAACTTGTTTGATCGATTAAATTAATTTGAAACTAGTGGTGTAAGGCATCGTGCCTTGAGGTAAATGGTGGATCTTCCCGTATCAAGAATTATTATTTTTTGTTAATGATAATTTTTTTTTTTGAATTTGATTACTTTTGCAGAATTTCTTGTTTTTTTGTATATTCGGAAATGTTTTGGAAATTTTGAAGCAATCGGGATACGTTTGCTGTGTCGAAACGAAATATCAAAGCGCGTGGGTGCCGCGTCGCAGTGTAACGGATAAACATTGCTACGAAGCCCATAGAAATGTAAACAAAAATGCGTTCTCTCAAAAAATCCTCGAAACGGCTCGGCTTGCCTTTAACAAAAACTAATCCGCATGTCTCCATATCAGTACGAGTCGAATGTTTTTTTAATTATGCAAATCGGTTGACTCGTATTCCCGAAATAGTCGAAAATTTGTATCCACATGCACATACATACACACATGCATCCATTTTTTCTAAGGTATGCCAAAATGTTCAGAAACCTTTGAAACGTAAAGATTTATATAGTGGTATAATCTGTAATTCTATAACCTAAAACTCTTAAATTTTTAGAGAAAGAGTAAATTTTTTTAAGACATTTTTTTTTCAAAATGCTCAATTTTCAAATTTTTTAACATTTTTAAAACTTATAAAAATTGTTTAGAAATTAGGATTTTTGTTTTAACAAAATTGAATAAAATCGACCTTTTTTATTTTTTTTATTTTTTTGAAAATGTTGAAATTTTTTGAAAATATAAAAATTATTGCTAATTTTGAAATGACTGGACTCTGTTTTCTTCAAAAATTAATCATTTTTTAGACAACGAGTTGTTATTCACTATAAATGACAGAACCCAAAGAAATGAATTAAAATTTGTAGTAACTGCTTATTTTTAAAATCTCTATAAAATCTGATAATTTGATGTGCATATGTCTAATGATCATTTTTGATTACCGAATGGCATTTTTTTCAAAAATTGAATCAATTTGTCATTGCATCAATACAAATGACATGTTTTTTGAATCATCGGACTCCCGATGATTCAAAAAACTGAATTGCAATTTTTGGCACTTTTTGCCCCGTATCTCCACAAAGGTTGTACCTGCCTTTGTCACAAACTAATCAGCACGTCTCTTCATTAAAAGAAATCGATTAAATTTTCCTGCTCCTGAAATCGTCGACAAAAAATTGTATCCACACATACAAACACGCACACACATTTTTTCTAAGATTTGCCAAAATGTTCAGAAACCTTTGAAACGTTAAGATATACAAAACAATTCATTTTCGATTTTCTTCCAATTACTATAACAAATAATTAATTTAAATCTTGCTTCGTTCTTTTTTGCAGGTGATGACTGTAAAAAACGATGGAAGTACATAAGAGACTCCTTCAACAGATGTAAACGTAGGTCCTTCAAAACAACCAAATGGATAATGATCGAAAAACTACGTTTTCTAGAGAAATTTCCAATAGAAAAATCTAGTTCTGCAAAATCTCAAGAAATAGAAAGCAATGAGGAGAGAAATGAAACACCAATAAATTCAGAGGATGTAAAAGATGAATTAAATGGGGACGTCATTATTACTAGTGATGTAGACATAAAACCAGATATAATTTTTAGTGAAATATTTCCAATTGATATAAATCCATCAACGAGCAGTATACAGACATACACTTCAGAAGCAACAAATACCGAACATGTTTCTATGGAAATCGTCCAAAATAATGAAATCATTCCAAATAACACACCGACCACAAACCATACTGATATTCGGTCTGAGAAAAAAAATAGAAAACGCAAAAGAACCAACGAATTTAATACCAGCCTCATAAAATTTTGGCAGGACAAAGAAAAAACTATGCAGGAGCAAATGAAACTTTTACAATCCAAACAGGCACTTGTGGATCGTGAAGAGGTTAAATCTTTTTGTGCTCATATTGAATCTGTTTTATTTAAGTTGTCACCGGCCTTAAGAGTTGTAGCAAAAACAAAACTATTTAATATATTGACTGAGTATGAAATGAAATCTTTGGAGGAAAACGATACATCTAATACTAGCCAACCTATTACTATGGTGTCTCTTAATACATCGAGTTCAAGTTCTTCTGAAGTCGAAGAACCTTAACCGCGAGATAATGAATATAATAAGATCTACTTATTTGTAAATTGATTTTTATAAAGATTTGTAGAATACTGTTATGTAATTTTTATAAATAAATCTTTTTGAATAAAATGTTAAGTTTGAATGAATGCTAAAATATATACACCAACTTTATTTACCTTAATAACCCTAACAGATCTATTTTTTATTTAGAGGTTACATAAAAGAAACTTGAGTATAACTCAAAAATCATAAAATACCTTATAAAATTATACATACTTAAAAATTATATTCAGGCATCGTAAACTAAACAACTGTGCTCGAAACCAAAAAAAAAAAACAAAATTGAAAATGACCTATTATCTCCTGATATGGATATCGCCGGATTTAAGGCAATGGCTGATTACATATTTTTGCCCTCTACTTTAAAATAGCATCGTTAACAAATTCTTACCCGTAGGGTAAGTTATGGCAATAGTCCAAAAATAGAATCTAATTTTTTTGCATATCTTTACATTTCAGAGGTTTGTGAACATTTTGGAATATTTTGGAAAAAAATTGTTCCCGCACACGCACACACATACTTTTTTCAAATTTGGTCTCATTTGATTCAGCATGGCTTGAAACGTTGAGAAAACAAATTTAGCGAATCGAATTTTTTTATGAAAACATAAACTTCTCTTTCGGAAGGTTTTTGATGTTTATGTATGTATGGATACAATATTTTGTCGACATTTACGAGAGCACCGCTCAACCGATTTGAATTATTCAAAAGGCATTCGATTCCTATTGATAAGGAGACGTACTGATTAGTTTTTGGCAAAGACAGGTTCAGCCGTTTCGGAGTACGCAGTAAAGAGTGTAGAAAATGGCAAGTAAGTTTGTGAGAAAACGGAGCATCCGATTTGTTTAATTCAAAAAACATTCTACTTGTATTGATTATTGGGTATGATATTGATACCTTTTTTGCAAAGGTAGGTCCAGCGATTTCGGAGATCCAAACTTTTTATAAAATATACCATTTGGCAGAAGAATATATATTTTGTGTATAATTGGAATCAACCGATATGAATTGGTATCAAAAATATTCAAGAAAATTTGAAGTTTAAAAAAATAAAAAAAAAACTAAAGTTTTAAAAAAATTTCTCCGTTTTCAAATAAATTCTAAGTTTTCAAAAAATCTCAGTATTCCAAGAAAGCAATTTTTCCCGATTTTCAAATGTATTGGAAATATTCCAAAATGTTCAAAAGAATTCAAATATTTCAAACAAAGTCTTTCAAAACAAATCTTATTCTTTTCAGAGCATTCAAGAATATAAAATTGCGTTACGAGAAGTTCCAGCAATCTGCCTTAGGGGATGTCCATTAATCACGTAAGGCTTTTAGGGTGAGAGGGAGTTTGGCATAAAATCAAGAAACATCTTGTGGGAAGAAGGGGTCTAATAAGTAATAAAGTGTATTTTTTATCTGAACTTTTAAAACAAATACAAACATTTTCAAAAAAAATCAATAATTTTACGATTTTTTCGTAAATTCCAAAAATTTGTTCGAAAAATTTTACAATGTACAATGTAATGTTACAAATATAACAATGTATGACCAAGGGGAGGGGGTCCAAAAATCCTTAAAAACTCAATCACGTGATTCACCGCTAATTTTTGAGATAAGTTGACGGACCCTATATTCATAATGGGTTAAAAATAAACTTTGCAATTAACAATTATCTTATAGTAATCTCAGTTCGAAAAATTACAATATTCAACATCAATTTTTTATAAAGTTTACATTAGCATATTCTAGACAGATTAAAACTCTCATTGTTACCGGACAAGTCGTACAAGTCTCCGGCGCGCTTCTTTTATTCTACATCCAACATATTATATTAAGCGCTGAAAATATTTTGCTTAATAAATATTCATAAAGTCCTGATGTAGCCCAGCAGGGGATTATCAAGTACATTACCGAGCAAAACAACATGAAAACCGAGCACGTCGGCGGAAGTTTTCGCAAATGCCATTATTTTGATTGGGCTCACTCCGATCTCCCATGGTTGTTATATTATATTATATGCTTCTATCTCGTTATAATATCACGCTAGATAAAAGTATAATTTCGCAGTCGTTTCATATATATAGCTAGGAAAATGCATTATGGATCGCTCGCGAAAATGGTGAACTATCAGGCAGTGGCGAACCCTGGCGATCACTTTTTTACAAAATCATATATAAACAAAATAATAATTTAACAAAAAATGTAATTTAGCTCATCGACGACTTTTCCACAAAATTATTTATTTATATTCCTCTAGCAAAAATCATGTTTAACATAAATTTTCAAGGATAAATATAAATTGGGCTGTGGTAAATCGACATTTTTTTCCTCCTGGACGGTATGTTATAGTAATCCAGAAAATCGAAGGAATCTTCTCATTAGTTTTTGGCAAACCTTAGAAAAAATGTGGGTGTTTGTGTATGTGTGTGCGTGTGTGTGTGTGCGGATACAAAATTCAACGATATCGAATTCAACACTGTCGATAATGAGTCATATCAACATATATGAAACTATCCGTTATTAGTGCATCATCGTAAATGTTTATAACCGTCCATTAAACGTGTGTAATAAGCGAGCATATAGTCTGTTGCATAGTTTAATTAATAACAATTACGTTTTAAATAGATGCCTCCGCCTGCGTGCAGGAATACATACATACTTTGTACAATGTATGATGGTAAAGTCAGATTGGCTTCGAGCTATTTCGACGTGGAGCTGAATTGAGAGAAATTGAGTTATATTGTCGAGTTATTGTTCACATTAATTAATGAACTATTTCCTAAATTTTTTTTACACAGCCAATTTTTTTACCAACATTGTCCCCACCATAGCTTTCTCCAGAACCACACAGTCGATTTTTTATTCAAATTATTTAACGAAATTTCTTAGCTTTATTCAGCACTTTGTTCTGCTATTTACGTATACAAAATCATCTTCTCCCAAAAAATATAATACATTCATTCAAAAAATTTAATGAGTCTCTTACATTTAAAAAGTAATGAGTTTCTTACATTTATTCCACGAATTTTCGACATTACCTAATTCACCTGATTTGGATTTCATTAATTTCTCCGGATATCACATACTCATATACAATTTTCCTGGAATTTTTCTTTTAAATCGTACAATTATTTACGCGTGCCGAGAAAGTTGCAGATTTAATATGCACTTTGGACAGTCTGATGTCCAGCAGTAGTGAGCAGTAGAGATGTTTTAATTTGTATTATGTGGAATTAGGATTAAACTCGTTTAAGTAAAAAAAGCACTAATTTACAACTGGAATATTTTTAAGCCAAATTTTAAATTTTGTTGATTGACAAAATTTTTTAAAAAATATTTACAAAAATATGATATATTGTTCACATACTATGTAAATAATTAAGGATTTTTTTTTAACTGTTCTTCAAATAACTTTTAATTTTCTTTTGAAACATTATGATTTGTTTACATTGGTGAAAAGTAGATGAAATTTACTAAAATCTAATAAAAAGTGTTACATGCACTTGTATAATAAAATTTTGAATAATTCGTAGTTGAAACGCAGATTCAAGTATTCCCATAATTTGCTATATAAGATTACGAACATTTTTCACTTTTCTTCAAATAATTTTTAATTTTTATCTCGGTCATCATAATTTGTTCACTTCGGAAAAAACTAGAGAAAATTTACTAACATCTTGTAGCAAATTCTATATTCACTTGTATGGGATCGTTCAAGTATTACGTAAGCAGATTTATTACAATTATTTAACCCCCCCCCCTCCCCTTTGTCATCAAAAGTAAGCAAATTTCTTACCAAAAATAAGCAAAATAAGCAAATCAATAACCCCCCCGCCCTCCTTTAGTGCTTACGTAATACTTGAACGGCCCCTATATTGAAATTTTGAATAATTTGTAGTTAAAATGCGTACTTTTGCATTTCCATAATTTACAATATATGGATTCAGAATATAAGACTTCCATGAACTCTCTTGATATTATCATAATTATATAGGTTTTGAGAAGTCAACCCAATGGTTGGCTAATCTCTATTTCAAATATTGATATTTATAGAATATTTTATAATCCTGGTGATTTTTAAATATTTTAAATAATGAATAATTTTTGTGGCCAATTCTCAGTCTATTTCCCAAACGGTATTATACTCGAATCTTGAATATTTCATGAACACGATATTCGTGAACACGGATCGGATTGAAGCTTAACAAATACATAATGATACCGTAAAAGTAAAAACGGTTGTATCTGAAAATATAGGTCTTGAAAAACTGGTTTATGTTCTAGTGTCGTAAACGAACAATAAAGCAACAAGCAAGCACTCATTACTAAAAGGCTATTATTATGCATAATTATTATAATGGACGGCTTGTTTGTCGGATGTAGACCACCGAATATCGAGTGCAAATTGTAAATGCAAAAATATCAGCTATAATAGACCATCGAGGTAATGGTTAACCTTTGTGCTTGTAAATATTTAATTTTATGACTGGTATGCAAACTGTCTATAAATAATGCAATTTTTGTAATTGCAAAACTGGTTATTAAAATTAATATTTGTAGATAAAAGACTTGTAAATTGCATAAAAATTTTAACTCTGATATATAAGTAACGATTTATATTTTCAATTTTAATTATTTTTCTACATTCCTGTATACAAAGAAATCTTGCGGAGATCTTCTCGGCCATTGTGATAAACAATACCGTATTATTTCTTTGGTTTATTATTTATAATGATAACCTTTTATAGCAATTTAGAAAGTTATTGTTCCGTATATATCATTTCTCATAAAATTTTATGAGCAACGATTCCGTGCGAATGACTCGTATACATTTGGAATAAAAAAAGCAATACAATAAACGTCGGTTATCAATTTTATTTATAACTACTGATCAATTCGAAATGGAGATTAAAAAACTAATTTGTGTTTGAATTGGTTAACGTCGAGGTTGTATGAATAATAAAAATTTAATT